GGGTCAGCCCAGCACCCAGGCCCCAAACCAGCTCATTTCCCCTCTGTCACTGTACCTCTGCCCGGGACGGCCACCGTCTGACTTTATCCTCAAACGTCTGTTGCCTGCTTTTGCACTTGATGGAAATTGAGTCAAGGACTGGGGTGTGCCTCAGTGGTAGAGCACTTGCCTAGCATGTGCAAGGCCCTGGGTTCCCCAGCACCACAAAACAAAATGAAAAAAAACAAAACAAAACGAAACTTGAGGGTGGCTGGGCATGGTAACTCGCGCCTGTAATCCCAGCTACTCAGGATGGGGAAATCAGGAAGATCGAGGTTCCAGGCCAGCCAGGGCAAAAAAAAATTAGCAAGATCCCATCTCAACAAACAAACTGTGAGTGGTGACACGCCTGTGGTCCCAGCTACACGGGAGGCAGACGTAAAAGGATTACAGACTGAGGCTGGCCTGGGCAAAACGTTGAGACCCGATCTGAAAAATAACTAAAGCACAAAGAAGGTTGTGGGCGTGGCTCAAGTGGTAGAGCTCCTGACTAGACAGCACAGGGCCCCGAGTTCAAATCCCAGCACTGCCCCCCCCCACAAAAAGGGCGCTTAAGAGGGAAATGCCACTTTGAACGTGTGGCGTTCTCTCACTGAGTGTAGTGTTTTGTCTGTCTGTCTGCCTGATTTTGGAGTGCTGGGGATCAAATCTGGGGCCTTGTGCGGGCTGAATGTGTGTTGTGTCCTGAGCTGTAGCCAGCCCCTACCATAGTTTTTGAGGTCCGTCCTAGTTGTAGCATGAATCGGTAACCTCATTCTTTTTTACGGTTGAGTAATAGTCCCTTGTGTGGACAGACCACATTGTTTTTTTATCCAGACACCCATCTGTATCCCAGGTGATTTTTAATTTTTGTCGCATAGGTTGGTCTTGAACTCCTGGGCTCAGCAATCCTTGTCTTTCAGGCTCCCGAGCAGCTGGGAGGTACACAGGTATTCTTTTTTTGTAGTACTGAGATTTGAACTCAAGTCGTCATGAATTTGAAGCAGGTGCTCTGCCCCCTGAGCCACGCCCCTGGCCCTGTTTTGCTCTGTTTATTTTGGAGGTGGGGGTCTCACTTTTTGTCCAGGCCAGCCTGGACCTGGGTCCTCCCATTTTAAGCTTCCCACCATTGCTGGGATGGCAGGCGTGAGCCACCACAACCAGCCTTCTTCTGTGGAGATGGGGTCTCACGAACTTGCCTGGGCCGGCCTCAAACCACAATCCTCCTGATCGCAGTCTCCCATATAGCTGGGATTACAGACGTGAGGCACAGCGCCCAGCTCCACTCTTAATGTGTGGCCAAGATTGACAGTCAAGGGCCTAACTTTTCATAGCCCCACTTTCAGATTGCAGCAATGATAGCCACTTTACAAGGAGGCTGTGGGCTTAAGCAAGTGCCTCTGCGTACCTGGACTCAGTAAGAAAACGGTCAGGTCTGACGAGAGGACTCTCTGGGCCCCCGATGTGTGTCTGGTACCTTGTGGGTGCGGAAGCCAGAATATTCTCTCGTGGAAACTGCAGACTAGGTGGCATCTCCTCTTTTCCACACACCGGGGAGCGGCAGCCCAGAGACGTTTGTCATTTCAGCGAGCACACACAGCCGAGAGCGACTGCACCGAGATTTTGCAGGTCTGAAGCTCGTGCCCTTGCCGCTTGGAATGGAAATTCAGCATCCTGTGCCAGGCTCCCGCCGGGCTCGATCGTGGCTCGGTTTGGGAGCCTTCCAAGTGGTCGTGGTCACACAGTCGTCCAAGCTCCAAGGGTCATTCACAAAATGGGGTCTTCTGTTCCTCCAGGGGACTAAAGTGTCAGTTCTTGCAGGAGGAATTGGCTGCCGGTTGGCTTGTTTGTGTTCCTCCTGCCTCAGCCTCCCGAGAGCCGGGATTACAGGCGTGCATCGCCAGCCCGGCCTCCCTGGTCTTGAGGCTGCCGCTCTGTGCTGAGCATCCCATTTTGATCATGGCTTTTACCTGTTAAAGACAAAGCCCGCTGGGTGCCGGTGGCTCACATCTGTCAGCCCAGCCTTCCAGGAGGCTCAGATTGGGAAGATCCTGGTCTGAGACCGCAATCCTGCTTCTGACTCCCGAGTGCTGGGATTACAGACGTGCACCACCACACCTGGCTGGCTGCAACTCCATTTCTGTGACACTCTGGAAACAGCAAAGTCCTGGGGGAAGGAACAGGCAGGGCAGCCGTCCACGGGGCTGGGCTTTGTAGCCTTCTTTGGGTGACTTGGGGGTGAGTTTTGGGGAGGTTCGTGTGCCTGTTACTTACCGTGATCAAAACCCACAAACCTGTATAGTCGCTTTGCCAACAGCAAAGTCAAACATGAATTGAAACCGAATCTTCCATCTCTTCACATCCCCTTCCAGAGGCTAATGGAGGGACCTGGACCCCAGGGGTTAAAGGAAACTTCTCGAGTCTTCAGAGTGGTGGGAACTGGTTTTTGGGCCTCTGCCTGGCCTCCTTTTTTTTTTTCACCTCCCTTCCTGGCCTTCAACAGCCCGAGCATAAACGAGAGACAAGGGGGTTTTGTGGAGCCAGAAATAAATAAATGAGTGGTGTCCTGGGTCGCCACGGCAACCGTGACATCACCCTGGAGCCCGTGACAGTGGCGCCATGGGTGGCGTTCTTTGTTAAAGTCACAGAGGAGGAAAGGGAGGCCCGGGCCACCAGGGTGCAGGTGCAGGAGAACCCCTGCCGTAGACATGGGGCTAACCACTTAGTACCCGCGCCCCCGGTGGCAGCACAAATTGTCACCCTGCCTTGGGGACTTTTGGCAGAGTGTGTACCTGGGCCAGTGTCCCGCGGCTGCAGGCCCAGCTTCTGGCCCCCTGGTGGCCGCTGTGGTTCTGTCACAGCCCCAAGGCCAAGGAGCGGCCATGGCTCCAGGATGCATCCCTGCGTCTCGTCTCTGTCACTGTGGCCAGGGACCGTGTCCGGGGCGGGCGCCCTGTTCCTCTGTGACCAAAACCCTGACTGTCCTCCCTCGCTCCTTTCTCTTTATAGACAGGGTTTCGCTGTGTAGCTCAGGCTGGCCTCCAGTCCTCCATCCTCCTGCCTCCACTCCCAAGTGCTGGCAGGGCCCACTTTCAAGCCGCCCTTGCCGGGTGCGCAGACCGTGGAGGCAGAGCACTGGGCGCGGCCGGCCTGGCTGGGAGGCCCGGGACTTGCAAGCTGGAGGGGTGCGGAGGGGAGGGTGAGACTCCGCAAGGCCCTGGGCTCGGAGTAATAAAGTGCTCGACAAGTGGTTCGTTGACTGTACTTAACTTGGGGCTAGCACACAGACGGTGCTCAATAGATGCTCTGTGAACTAGACCAGCACAGAGGCAGCACACAAAAGGTACTCGGGATGCTCTGTACTGTACTGCCATGGGTTCAGCATACAGAAGGCGCTCAGTACACGCCTGACACCAGCATACAGAAGGCGTCTAATAGATGCTCGGCAAGCCATGCTGCCTGGAGCCCGGTTTTTGGTGACTTTGGTATTTGTCCCCCTCACCATGAAATTCTGTGCCTGCCCTGTGTGCGAGTCCTGCCCGCTGGCCTGTGACCCCGGGGTGCGCAGTCTGTCCCCCGCCTCCTGGACGCCTCCTCACTGCCGGGCTGACTCTCGTGTGTCATCCACCGACTGGGGAGCCCGGCTGGGGCCACGTCCCCGTGACTCCTGGTGATGTCACTTCTGCCCCGGGGACTCCCACCTGTGAACTGAGTCACAGCTCCACGCGGTGCTGGTGAGGACCCGAGGGGACCAGAGGGGACCATGGAGATTTGAAGACTCCAGAGCCACCTGGCAATTCCATATGCAGCTCTGAGCTCCCCTCGATGGCACATTTGCCAGCTGGACTTTTGTCACCGTGACCAGTGCTGGAGAGAAGCCATTTAAAAGAGGGGGCTTTGTTTGTGATGCTTTTGCGCTCCTGGGATTTGAACTCAGGGCCTTGCGCTGGCTAGGCAGGCGTCCTGTCACGAGAGCCACGTCTCAGTCCCACAGGGAGGATTTAGTTTGCTTGTGGTGCCAGAGGTTTCTGCCATGACAGGGAAGATGTGGTGAGGGACAGAGAGAGAGACAGACAGACAGACAGAGTCAGGGGGAGAGAGATAGCTAGAAAGATGGGGAGAGACACGGACAGCGAGCAGGAGAGAGAGATGCCCGAGCTAGGAGGCTCTCTCTTGTCCCATCCGCACCCATCCCACACTCAGGCCGGGTCCTCCCCCCTTAGTTAATCTGCCTGGAACACCTCCCAGACACCCGCAAGTGCGCTGCACCAACCTCCTAGGCGTCTGTCCACTCCACCAAGGTGACTGTCAGCACGAGTATCACATATTCACCAAAACACACACAACGGCCTGCCAGCAGTTCCCCCAGCTGCCCTGCCCTGGAATGTCCCCTCAGTACACTGTGTGGTACTGTCCATCTAGTGGAATACTACACAGCCGTGAAAAAGCCCACATATTCTTCTGGAGCAAAAGATGCCAGAAACAAAAGGGCGTGTGCTGCGTGAGCGCACTGGCTGCAAGTCCAAGGGCAGGAAGATCTCATCTCCACTGACAATGTCAGTGTTTCCCACTGGGGGAGGGACAGAGGGACGCTTTCCAGGGGTGGCATCAAATGACCTAGGTCTTCCTGGGTAGTGTCACATGGGTATGTGTGCGTAAGGAAAAATTCCACAAGCCGTAACCTTGGAAAGCTAACGTGTGTGTGTTATACTGACAGAAATAAAACAGCCGAGTCTGGTGGTGCGTGCCTGTAACCCCGGCACTGCGGAGACTGAGGCGGGTGGAGTGTTCAAGGCCAGCCTTGACCATGTGGTGACTTCTAGGCCAGCCTGGGCTACCTAGGAAGGCCCCGTCTCCAAAATCATCACCAGAAGGAGAGGAGGAAGAAGGGAGGGAGATGGAGGGAGGATGGTGGGGTGGCGAGGTCTTTGGTCCTTTGGGAGGTGTCCCGAATCTGTTCCTGGATTCTACCTCTGTTCCAGGTTCATGAACCACCGCGTCCCGGCCCACAAGCGGTACCAGCCCACGGAGTACGAGCATGCAGCCAACTGTGCCACCCACGCTGTGAGTCAGCCGGGGACGGCGGGAGGGGACACTTGTCTCCTTGCCCACACACACGTCAGCCCACCCTAAGCAACCCGTTCCTCTCATCTCCCGTGGTCTGCGTCCATCTGTTCCATTCTTGTCCTTAGCTGCCCCCTCTGAAAGACAGGGCAGAAAGATGGCCCCAGCCTCCCCATCCACCAAGACTCAGAGAAGCCCTGAGCCGGTACCCACATTTTGCCTTGCACTCTGCCAAGCTAGAATGACCATCGCTCAGTCATTCAGCAAACAGTCCCTGGTGCGCTCCTGAGAGAGAGCGGGGAGAAGTACATTGGGGGGAAGGTGGCTGAGGGGCTGGATCACACATGTGAAAGGATTTGGGGTCTCCATTCTCTCCCACTAACCAGGATGGACCGTCCACAGTTTAAACCCATTAACAAGTTCCGTGTACAACTGTGTTGTTCTGGGCTGGGGTGTCCGTTCAGGCAAAGTTGGGGACATAAGTGACACCTGTGTGGCGTGTGGCACACCAGACTCCTCTGTTGGAGACTCTGGGGGGACACTGGGGCCTGGGGGTGGCCAGCTATTCCCTGGCCAGTGTCCTTACACCATTGGCGAGTCTAATGGACAAGCCTTGTCTGATTTGGATTTAATTGTGTTGAAATTTAAATTTCAATTAAAAATACCCGGCATACTTCGTAAAATCTAGTCAGGGGCCAGTGGCTCACGCCTGTAATCCCAGCTACTCGGGAGGCAGAGATCAGGAGGATCGGTGTCCAGGGCCAGCCCAGGCAAATAGTTCCTGAGACCCTGTCTCAAAAAACCCATTCCACAAAAGGACAGGTGGAGTGGCTCACAGTGTGGGCCCTGAGTTCAAATCCCAGCACTGCAAAAATAGTGAATTTGACTCCATTGACACAAAACGCAACAAGTCATTGCCTCGGGGGCTCTGGCCACCATTCCAAGGCCCGGGGCAGCCATGCTGGCTACATTCGGGGTGGTTGGGGGTTGGGGACTGGGTCCTGGCATTGCGCGGACAGCCGCCTGTCCCTTTCCTCCAGTTTTGGATCGTTCCCAGCATCCTCGGCAGCTCCAACCTCTACTTCCTGTCGGATGACGACTGGGAGACCATTTCTGCCTGGATCTACGGCCTGGGCCTCTGTGGCCTCTTCGTGGTGTCCACTGTGTTCCACACCGTGTCCTGGAAGAAGAGCCACCTCAGGTACGTCCTCCCGGGCACGGAGGGGACAGCAGCTGGGCAGGGTGACCCCAGGCTGAAGGATGGAGCAGGACCCTGAGCTTGCAGGTGACATAAGAGGTGAGCCAGGAGTGGACCAAGGATCGGTGACAGCAGGGCCATCTTTGGGGACAAAGTAGCCCTGCCCGGGGAGGCGAGTTGAGTCCCATCTGCCCCACGGGCACCTCGGCCCTGTGTCCAGCTCTGAGAGGAACCCCAAGAGCCAGCGTCTGCTCGCAGAGTCCCCGGTAGGGGTCACGTGGCCACCGCGCCCAGTGTCCAGGCACTGGTCGTTCCCAGTCAGCACTGAGGTCATGAGACTAGCAGTTCAAGACCAGCCTTGGGCAAATTTGCAAGACCCCATCTCCATCAGCAGCTGGGCATGGTGGTGCACACCTGCCACCCGGTGTCGTGGGCTAAATAGGATGAATGAGGTCCAGCCCAGCCTGGGGCTAAAAGTGAGACCCGATCTTCAAAATTCTCAGAGCAAACAGGGCCGGCGGAGCGGCTCAAGTGGCAGAGCGCCTGCCTAGCGAGCGTGAGGTCCTGAGTTCAAACCCCAGTGCTGCCGAAAAACCAGACACACAGTCAGCGCCAGAAAGCGCTCTGGTTACCGTAGGAGCCCCACTTTCTTCTCGTGTTCAGGAAGACGTGCAGTTGAGGACGGGCGGCCCCGAGCCCGGCAGACGCCCAGCCTGCAGGGCACAACCGTAGTGTGCATCGGTCACCATTGCTGCGTGACAAAGACCCCAGAAACACGGCTGACTGGCGTAACTAACTGCCTACTCCCTTTCCAAGCCCCGGGGTCTCAGGGTCACAGAGCCGTGTCTTGGGGTCCCCCTGAGACCCCAAGGTGATGCTGTGTCACCTCAGGTCCCTCTGGGGCCGAGAGTCCACTTTCAAGATGGCCTCCTCCCACAGCTGCAAGTTGGATGGGTGTTCTGTCCTTGCCCACTGGACCTCCCTACGGCCACATGGTGGCCGTGTCCCCAAAGTCAGTGGCCCAAGAGAACAAGACAGACGCTGATCTGGCCTCACATTCACACACCGTGGTCTCTGCAGGAGCCCCTCGTTTCCTGAGGCTGCCATGCTCACTGCTGGTGGAACAAGCAGTGACAAGCAGGGACAAGGTGTGACTGACGAGAGGCAGGGCTCAGGGCACCATCATGGATGCTGGCGCCACCTGGTCATGTGCGTTGAAGACCGCGGCTCGCTGTTCAGAACAAAGTCATGATAAGAACAGCCGATGTTTATGGAGCACTTCTTGGGTTTTTGGTGGCACTGGGGATTGAACTCAGGGCCTCTTGCTTGAGCCACACGGCCAGTCCTTTTGCGTTTTAGTTTGTTTTCAGATAGGGTCTCATCTGTCATAGGCTTTCGCTAGCCTCAATGGCGATCGTCCTACCTCAGCCTCCCGAGTGGCTGGGATTACAGGTGTGCATCACTGCACCCGGCCGTGTGTATATTCTTGGGGGGCAGTACTTGGATTTGAACTTAGGGCCTCATGCTTGTTGCTAGGCAGGGGTTCTACCCCTTGAGCCATGCCACCAGCCTCTGTGGCATGAAGCTACAAGATTTGTTCTCTTGTGGAAAACGCAGAGCATAAAAAACCAAACTGGTTACGGTGGGGACCTCAGCACTCACCTCCCTGGGGACCCCGAGGCCCCTCCGTGAATCCCCCTAGAACACAGGGAGCCTGGCTGATCCCTCACAGGCGGGGACACTGAGGCTGGGGGGGTTGTGGCTGTGTCTGTCCTTGCCTGGCCATCCACCCTCACCTGGGGGAAGTCACCATTGTCCCCCAGGTGTGGCCCCTGCCTGCCTACCGCACGGGGCCGGTGACTGCCACTTTCTCTGTCCCCAGGATGGTGGAGCACTGTCTGCACATGATTGACAGGATGGTCATCTACTTCTTCATTGCAGCCTCCTATGCGCCCTGGTGAGTGCCCGCCCCGCTGGGGTGGGAGCCGCCCGTCCCTCTTCCTCTGGCACTTACAGTCACGTTTCCATTAGGCCGGGTGACTTGGCGCTGAGGGACATAGGCACAAAGCCTTCCTCCACCCTATTCTCTTTGCAGAAACTCTTACTAGAGTTATTTTCTACATAAGAGCAAATATGTAGCCAGGTGTGGTGGCTCACACCTGTAATCCCAGCCACTCGGAAGGTGGAGGTAGGAGGATTCAAAGTTTGAGCCCAGGCAAAAGCGGGAGACCCTATGTGAAAAAGCGCTGCGGGTGTGGCTCAAGCTAGCAAGCAAGCAAGAACTGAAGGTGCCCCCAGTTCTGGACAGGTATTTTATATTTGAAGTGTAGATTTAGCTGAGCATGGTGGTGCACCCCTGTAATCTCGACCTCAGGAGGCCCAGGCAAGGGGGTTGTGGTTTTGAGGCCAGACCAGGCTTGATAGTGAGACTCGACCTCTAAACACACACGAAATAGCTGGATGTAACCCGAGCACTTGGAGGCTGAGACAGGAGAACTGCAGGTTTGAGGCCAGCCTGGGCTCCATGGTGAGACCCCGTTTCAAAACACAAACGGCCAAGTGCCGGTGTTCATGCCTGTAATTCTGGTTTTTTTTTTTTTTTTAGGTGGGACTGGGGTTTGAACTCAGGGCTTTGTACTTGCAAACCAGGCGCTCTATCACTTGAGCCATTCCTCCATTCTATTTTACGCTGGTTATTTTGGGAATGGGGTCTTGTTAGCCATTTGTCCAGGCATTTGAACCTTGATCCTCCCAATCTCAGCCTCCCAAGTAGCTGGGATTACAAGTGTGAGCCACAGCACCTGGCTGTCCTTATATTTTTCAAATTTCTGTGCGTATGTCACAAGATGGTGTATTCCTTTTTAATTTTACTTTGTTTTTTATGTGTATTAATTGTACAAAGAAGTTTCACTGGGATATTTCCATACATGTGTGTAATGTATTTTGATCAAATTCCCCTCTATTACTTTCTTAAGAAAAATCAAGTTTTGCTTTTTTTTTTTGTGGTACTGGGGATTGAACCCAGAGCCTCGTGCATGCTAGGCGAGCACTCACCCGCTGAGCCACACCCCCATTCTCGTATTAAGAATTACTAATGGGCCAGTTCCATGGCTCACGCCTGTCACCCCAGCTCCCCAGGAGGCTGAGATCGGGAGCGTCACAGTTCGAGGCCAGCCCAGGCAAAAAGTTTACGAGACCCCATCCCAAGAAATGGCCAGGAGTGGTAGTATGCCTGTTACCTTAGCTGCAGGGGAGGCACAAATAGCTTGTGCCAGCTTGGCCTGGGCGTAAAAGCAAGACCCTATCTCAAAAATAACCAACATAAAAGGGGCTGGCAGAGTGGCTCAAGTGGTAGAGCGCCTGCCTAGCAAGTGTGAGGTCCTGAGTTCAAATCCCAGTGCCGCCAAAAAAAAATTCCCAACAGATTATAATGGCGAGGAACTGACAAGTGAGAATTAAAGACAGTTTTAAAGAACCCAGTCGTGACGGCAGATCTAAATGACAACGGCCGATCCCAGGGCTGGGATACCACCTCATCTGACAGGCAGAGAAGTTGACAAAGATTGTGCTGGTGCCACTCGCCACTTCTCAGGGTGCCCGGGGAGGCCATCTGCTGGATGGGGACAGGGATGGAGGCAGCAATGGGGGAGGGACACCCCCTTGTAGAGACCCAGACACTTCTGTGCCGTGCCGTCAGGACAGCTCGAGGCTGGGCAGTCAGCTCGCTGGACAGAGGGTGGCCTGAAGACCCCAAGGATGCTCTTGGGGCTGCACAGGGAGGCGATACCTTGGCTGAGGGTCCCTGGCTGGGCAGCGGGAGAAAAACCTGTGAGGTCAAATGCCAGAAAGAGCTGAGCCCTGCAGGGACCTGGCACTGGGAGAAATGACCAGGGTGAGCTGTGCAGGAAAAAAAAAAAAAAGAAAAAGAAAGAAAAGAAAAAAGAACGAAAAATTACTCTGTCTGGAAGAAGGCTGGCTGGCTGACCAGGAACCAGGGGGCAGAACCTGTCCTGCAGCAGCGTCTCGCTGGTGCCCTCTCCTGCCAGCACCTGGCATTGCACCTGCTCACGTATCAGAGCAGCCAAAAAAAGGTAAAATCCCACCTGCAAGGCAATAGATGGACTGATAATGTTTATTTCTACTGTCACTCGTCTAAGAGGTTCCTCCTGTCGGACGTGGTTTTTTTTTTTTTTTTTTTTGCTGATTTCCTTCTCTGAATCCAAAGACCTTGCAAGAAGCACCACAACCACACAAGTGGAACCACCAGCCTCACACCGAGTCGAGACCCGAGAGCACTGAAAGAAATCGGGTGAAATTTCAAGTGCCAAGTGTAGCAGCACTCACCTGAACTCAGGGTTCAGAGGCAAGAGGACCACAAGTTCAAGGCCAGGCTGGGCTACACAGTGAGACCCCATCTTAAAAAAAATTACCATCAGGCTATGTGATAAGGTGTTTATTGTACATAAATGAATTTTGTGCTTAGACTTGGGTACTGTTCCTAAGATGTATTTGTAGAGGTCTCAAAATTTGAAAAACAAATCCAAAATATGAAACACTTCTGGTCTCAAGTGTTTCTGGAAGGGACCTTGTCTTTCTTTCTGTTTTTTTTTTTTTTGATGGTACCAGGTTTTGAACTCAGGGCTTCACGCTTGCTAGGCAGCTGCTCTACCACTTGGGCCACTCCACCAGACCCTTTTTTGAAGGGTGTTTTCAAGATAGGGTCTCTAGAACTATTTGCACAGGGCTGACTTTGAACCGCGATCCTCCTGATCTCTGCCTCCTGAGTAGCTGGGATTACAGGTGTGAGCCACCACACCGAGCTCAATGTGTCCGTTTGCCTGTCCACGCGGTCTTCCTGTGAGAGTCCATGTTCCACCTGTCCAGCCGCCGGGGACAGGGATTCTCTGGGGTCAGCTTCCCGTGCCAGCGAACCCACCTCGGGCTGTGCCCTTGGCCTTCTCCCTCCCAGGCTGAACCTTCGGGAGCTGGGCCCCTGGGCGTCGCACATGCGGTGGGTGGTCTGGACCATGGCGTCGGTCGGCACCGTCTACGTGTTCTTCTTCCACGAGCGGTAAGCCTGGGCTGGGGAGCGGTCTCAGGAGGATGGGGGCCCCTCGATCCCACCCGGGAAGGTGACATCCCAGGATGACCCCAGAAACACGCGGGCACAGCTCTGCTTGCGTCCCAGAGCCCAGGGGGCCGTCTGAAGACTTTTCCCTGGACGGTCACAGATGGGGGTGGGGATCTGAGGAGGGCCTCACTCCCTGCGTGCCTTTCCCGGGAGTCACAGGGATGGGGCTGAGTAACTAGGGAAGGATGGGGGCTGGTGGAGAAAAAAAAAAAAAAGAATAGCAGACTGACTCTCCGAGCGCACAGGGCCTCTTGGTCATTCAGACAAACAGGCTGATGTCATCCAGCAACTCGGCTCGATCGAGGGTGGCTTCTCGGACCCTGTGGCGACAGACGCTGGGATGGAATAACGTGTGGGCTGACACCTTCCCAGTGCCCACTGTTTTCCTTCCCTGTCCCAGCTCCAGAATGTCACTTTACGGGAGGGAAGCAGTCTGAGAGAGGGAAAGAGACCTGCGGGTGGCTGTCACCTGTTGGTGTATCCCGGTGAGAGAGAGAGAGAGAGAGAGAGAGGCCCTTTTTCTGCCCATTCTGGGCAGGGGTCCCCGTCTTCCCAGTGTGATTCCGGGGACACTTGTCCTGAGCCCCCTGTGACATGTCCTCCCGCCAGGTACAAACTCGTGGAGCTGCTGTGCTACGTGGTCATGGGGTTTTTTCCCGCCTTGGTCATCCTCTCCATGGTAAGTTGCGCCCGTCCAGCGTGGGGTCCCCTGTGGGCCCGCGAGGACTGAGTGTGTCCGACCTGGCTTGTCGTGTCGAGCCCTCTCCTTTGTAACCTGGGGAAACTGAGGCTCGGGGCCGGCGTGGCTTGCCTAGAGGGGCAGGGGGCCTGCGGAGGTCAGTCACATTCCGCCATCACAGTCTGGAGGACTGGTGTGTACACTGCTGTGTGTGCGACCAAACACCGCAGCCCGTCTACACCGCCCGGCAGGATCTCCGTGTAGACGCGTTGAGTGGACTCAGGAGACTCTGTCGCGTGGACGATGGAGTCACCGCTCCCCTGACGTCGGTCAGTCCCATGCACGCGTGCGTGCAGAGGAAGGGCAGGCAGGTTGCACACGGTCACGGTCACGTATAGAACTTTCCAGAAGGGTACCGTCCATGGCGGCCACCGCTGCGCTTGCTCTGGTCAGGCTCGTTTCTCCAGCGTGGTAAGAGCGCTGGGTGCTTTTTTTTTTTTTTCCCTTAAACTTTTTGGGTTTTTGTCAAAAAAAAACCCAGAGCTGAATTAGCTCTGTGTTGGGGTGATACGTACACAACCTCTGCCACGAAAACCGTCTTCCCTGCGCAGCTCAGGGCACTGGTGCGCTCAGATTGTCCTGCAGCCGTCACTCTCATTCACCCACAAGGTAGTTCCCATCTTTTTTTGGTGGTACTGGGATTTGAACTCAGAGCCCTGCACTTGGTAGGTAGGTGCTCTACTCCTTGAGCCACTCACCAGCCCTTTTTGCCGTAGGTATTTTTTTTTTCAGGTAGGGCCTTGTGTTTTTTGCCCATCCTAGCCTGAACTGTGATCCTCCTACTTAAACTTTCCATACAGCTGGGGTGACAGGCACTCACCACCACACCCAGCTTACTGGTTGAGATGGGGTCTTGCTAACTTTTCGCCTGGGCTGCCCTTGAACCATGGTCTTTTTGATCTCCACCTCCAAGTAGACAGGGTGAGCTGCCATGCCCAGCCCAACAGTTTCCATCCTTGCCGGGAAAGAAACTCCCGATCCGGTAAATAGCAACTCCCCTGTCCCCCACTCCATCCGCTGGTAACCCCCATTCTACTTTCCGTCTCTATGGACTTGACCGCTCTGGGTCCCTCATCGGAGCAGAACCATACAGTAATTGTCCTTGCTAGCATCACGTCCTCCGGGTTCATCCACATCGTAGCGTGTGTCAGACGGCTTCCTTTTTAACAGCTGAATAGTATTCCCTCGTGTGCAGCGTTCACTAACGCCCACCGTGGTCACAGGTTGCCTCTCCCTTCGGTTATCGTGAACGACTCTGCTGTGAACACGGGTGTGCAAAAGCTGCCTTCAGATCTTTGGGTGTAGACTCAGAGGTGCTACTTTTCGGGATGTACAAAAAGCTATAAAAGTATACTTTGAGACTTTTTGATACAAATATGTCACACGATTCAGCCAGTTTTGGGAGACCCCATGGCGTCACAGCACTGAGACTCCCCACGGGGACTCTGGGCTGGCTCGTCACTTGTGTCTCTTAGCTTTGGGTGGTGTGGATACGTGACTGCTCCCCTGACCTCTCCTCCACCCTGTCCTTGTCTGCAGCCCAACACCGAGGGCATCTGGGAGCTGATGACCGGAGGGGTCTTCTACTGCTTGGGCATGGTGTTTTTCAAGAGTGACGGGAGGATCCCCTTCGCCCACGCCATCTGGCATCTCTTTGTGGCGTTCGGTGCCGTGACCCACTACTATGCCATCTGGAGGTACCTGTACCTGCCCAGCACCCTGCAGACCAAGGTGTCCAAGTGACGCGGTCCACACTCCATGGGCCCTTTGGGCTTTTGGAGCAGAGCATCACGAGAAGCAGTCTGCAAACTGTAGCCTTGACACGGCGTCACGACCTGCGTGCCCTTCCCGTGATGCGTCTGCGGTTCCTTCCGGTGGCAGCCAGACCACCCCTCAAGTCCCCTGGGGGACAGAAAGCATTTAGTCGTGTCCCAGAGGCGACATTAATCCTGTAATGTTTCTACATTAGACAAGTGTGTCCTAACATGATGACTATTATTGTCTCCAGCAAAGGGCAAACTGGGAACGACAGGCCGAGAGGTCCTGGCTGGGGGACTGTCCCCTGCTCAGGGAAAGAAGGCCGGGGAACTTTCCTGGCCAGGGCAGACATCACCATGAACGATTTCCTGCTCGTGACGGAACCTCTGGGCCTCTGGGGCCTGGTGTTTTCTGAAATGACCGGAGCGGTTAACGTCACCACGTGGAGGAGCGTGGTGTCTCCTGACACAGATGCCTGTGCTCCCTCATGCCCTGCACTTTGAGGAAGGTCCTGGAGTGGGCAGGCTGGAGGCAAGTACAGAGAAACTGAGGCACACACCCTCAGCAGCCCCTGACGTCCTGTTCCACCATCCCTGGCTCTCGGCACAGTGGAGGTGCGGGAAGCCGGGGTGAGGACTCAACTACGGCTGCTTTGCATCCTAAAAAAAAATCCAGAGACATAGCCGGGTGCAGTGGCTCACGCCTGTAATCTCAGCCTACTCAGGAGACAGAGATCAGGAGGATGGTGGTTCAAAGCCTGGGCCATAGTTCATGAGACCCCATCTCGAAAAACACACCCACACCCACACACACAAAAGGGCTGGTGGAGTGGCTCAACGGTAGAGAACCTGCCTGGCATAGCAAGGGTGAGGACCTGAGTTCGAATCCTAGTGCCGCAAAAAATAAAATCCAGAGACATAAGAAGAGCCATCTGTTCGTCAAAGGGTCATCCAGATTCCTGAGTTTGCACCCTATTTAGGGCTCATGACGACACCATCGGGACTGTCACCTGGTGCCAAGCAGCACTCTTAGAAGCCACTCAGATGGGCCCAGGAGCAAGGCCTCAACCTCATCTGAATCTGGCAGTGTCCTGTCCAGGTCCCTCAGTCTCTGACTGCCAGGGTCCTGTCCTCACCCGGCCCAGGGCTGGACCATCCTTCTGCACAATGTCACCTGGCCATTTGCTGGAACAGGAGTGACAGGTCAAGTTCCAGGATCTGAATCAGAATCTCTGTCCTAAGTCCCAAAGGACCTCATCTAACCAGAACAGGGGTGGGAGGAGGGGGGACAAGACAGGGCGCCTGATTCTTTGTTCTAGCACATTCCAGGGTGTGTCAGAGCCTGGGTCCCTGGAAATCCGTGTGTCCGGGCCAGTATTCCATCATGGCGACATCACACACTCCTCAGACGGAGCAGGGGACTCGGGCTGTGTTTGTCCCCCTCCCGTGTGCGTGTGTGTGAGCGTGCGTGTGTCCACACAGGACTCCGACTTCCGCTGTTTGGGTGAGTGAGCCCCGTGGATCTCACCAGGCTGGGGTCAGAGAAGGAGGTCAGGGAAGCAGTGGAGGAGGGTGACAGCGGCGAGCTCACGCCTGACCTGGGCAGGGACGCTGGACCCGAGGGCTGGGGTGTGGTTGGTGCCCTCACGGTGTGGCAGGGCCCAGACCCAAGCAACTCCTGGCTTCAGAGTGCTGTTTAGGAGCCTGGCAGAGCCCCAAGAATGGTGCTGGACACCAAAGACACTGCTTTGGGACTTCTTAGTGACCCTTGCTAAGGTGCTGAGGTCCTGAGTCTGACAGCTGTACTCCCTGTGACCCTTGCTGTGTATTTCCCCCCAAGAAAGCCACCCTGCAGCCCTCCAAGTTGAGGTTCCATTTCCTCTACTGGGAACTCTGTTCGCCCTCCCCACACCATCTACCCAACTCCTACTCATCCTGTAAAGCCCAAATCCTGCCTTCATCTACTTAAGGGCTTCCCGGCTCTCCTTGTGCTCACCTGACCACAGCCTGGAGCCCTGTCTGTCATTCAGACACTTGTGCCTGCTCCGGGAGTGAAGGACTGCGTATCTTGCTATACTTGGGTTCAAATGTGGCGTTGTCCCTTTGCGAGAGCTGGAGCCAGTCCCCTGACTACTGGGAGCCCTAGTGTCCCCAGCTGTAAGATGGGTGGAGCAAGGGCAGCACCGGGCCAGGCTGCATGGAGCCACAGCAGAAGTAATGAATGCACGACACCCAGCCTGCTGTCCTCATTAGTTCTGCTGGCTGTCCACTCAGAAAGAAAGACCTGGTCAGGAAAGTGGTGCTTTTTCAGGGGTGTCAGCCAAAGGAATGAGTCACTAACGGTGGAATTTCCCACTATGGCTGTGATACTGATGACACCAGAAGGTGTCCCGAGGGTCCTTGGCCCACATTTCCTCCTTTAGCGCCAGTTCAAGACACGCTTCCCATAAACCCTTCCTCCTCCTCAGTGTCCTTTGGGAAGCGGGTCTCTCAGGACCCTTTACCCCATCCCAGACCCTGCGTCTCTGCTCAGCGCGTCACAAGTAGTTCAGGGAGGGAAAAGGAGTTTTTAGGCCCGCTCCCTCCGGTGGGAAAGTCCCCCGTGTCCGTGGGCACCGCCAGGGCGTGGCGGGCAGGAAGGTAGTGACGACAGCTTCACACTACCAGCCATGCACGTCCCGCAGTGCCCGGCTGGGAGGGCCACAGCGCAGCATGGCTGTGACCGTCCCTAAGAGCTGGCACGATTTGCATCAGACGCAGACCAGAGCTGCCTCCCTTCCAGCTGATGGGAAGTTGGAGGTCTGCTGTGAGCAGGGCCGATCCTTTCTGGGAAGGATCCCAGAAAGCCCTTGGAGTGCCAGGCTAGGACTCACAGGGGACCTGGACCCCAAGAACTGCGGCCACCTTGGCCTTGGATGGGGCCTCGCACTGGATGGAAGCTCGCTGGGACCATCCCTGAGTTTTCAGCTCACCCAGCCTCCATTTCCCACCTCCATTTGCAAATCCCACAAGCCTGTGCCTCCAGCTGTGCCTGACCCCTGCAACCGGGCCGAGGAAGTGGGGGCTCTGGCCACTCGTGCTGCCCACCCTGGCTTCATAGGGCAGGTGCTGAGAGGACAGTTGAGCCCCCAGGGCTGGGTGATGGACACTTGTCATTTTCCCATGGACTGTGTAACTGGACGACCATAAGCAGACTCTGTAACTGGCACCCGTGGGATCCAGAAAGAACCCGTGAAAATCCCAGCAACGTGGGGTGTGCCGTGGGTGTGTGTCTCCCCAAGAGAAAGTCCCAAATGAGAAACTCGAGACGTCCTCCAGACATGTCCTCCAAACTGGTAGCCATTCACTGCAGATAGCTAGGTAGACTTAAATCTATGTCCCCAGCCCCCCGGCCACGTTAACCCATGTGTGGCTAATGGCTACCATTTTGGAGAACAAGGACGACTACCAACCATTTCCATCATGGTGGAAAGTTCCATAGGACAGAGCTGCTGGGCTCAGTGGCTGTCAAACATTTTAAACTTGGGACCCCACTTTGTCCTCTCAAAAATTATAGGGCGCCAAAGAGCTTCGGTTGAGGTTGGCAGTACCTGTTAACATTCATGAAAAAAACAGAATATTAAAAATATCTACTAATTCCTTTTAAAGATTAACCCAGGATGTTGTAACATAACCAATGCATTTTTAATATTAGAAATAGCATATTTTTTCCAAGCAAAATAAATGCAGGGTGGAAAGTGCCTTTGCTGCACATTTTTGCAAGTCTCTAGAATGTTTGGTTCCACAGAACGTAGTTGGATTCCCGTCTGCTTTTGCATTCAGTCTGTTGTGAGGTGGAAAGAACGAGAGGGGAAAGAAAAAAGAATTGTAGTCTGGTTGTGAAAATAGTTAGGTTTTGTGAAGCTTTCAAAAGGATTTTGTGGCAGCCAAGTGTGGATGTGCACGCCTGTAATCCCACCTACTCAGGAGGCAGAGGTGGGTGAATCATGGTCTGAGGCTGACCCCGGCAAAAGCAAGAGACCCTACTTAAACACTAAAGGCAAAAGGGTTGGCGGGGTGGCTCAAGAGGCAGAGCAAGTTCAATCCACCTGTCCAAAATAAAAGGGTGCTGGGATTCCCAGGGGTGTCTACACTGGACACTTTGAGGATCGTCTCCCTAGGGTTTTCTCCTTACTTTGCAGTGGGGAAATCTCCTTCGGTGTTCATTTTTATAGGCCATAGTTGGGTCATTTTAGCCACACCTGGAGGCTGAGGACAGCAAGGTGGGGTGTGCACTGGACAGAGACCCTCTGGGAGGACACTGAAGACCGAAAGCTCAGCTCTTAGCAGGTGCTCAGTACCAGTTTGACCCTGGCCACCTCCTCTCCGTCTCCTGGGGTCAGGAAGGCGTGCCCAGGGAGCCTCGTGTTGTGTTTTCCTTTACTGTTCCTGTTTGGAAAGAGGCCAGTTGACAATCCAGGTCTGCATGGACGTGCCATGGTCCTTACCCAGTGGCCTTGAATATCAGAAGACATGCTGGTGACTTACGGGATGATCTAGGGTTCGTCTTCCTGATGAGGTTTGGGGTGAGATTTGCCCCTGCCCCTGGGAGGGTGTGCAGTATGGAAACCTGGCGCCCATGGGTGCTGCAGGAGCTGGTGTTGCGGGAGAAGTCAGGAAGACAACTCTGGCGTGAGGCGTGAGGGATGGGCAGGGGAGGGGAGCCGAGCTCTGCAGGTGATCTGCTTGGTGGCAGAAGAGGTGTGGCTTGTTGTGTCATAGGGACGCTGCTGGAGACAGAGGCAGCAGACCCTCACGTGACAGGGGTCACATCCCGCCCACTCCTTCTCTGCTTACGGGAGGGGAGGTCACCCTGGGGATGTCGTGTTCTTCACGCGCCAGTGGCGCCCTGGACACGGGCCTTAACTCCCCAGCGACTTTGCAAGTGTTCAGACACTGGCCACATGGGACTGGCCCTGTGTGAGTGTCCACACCGTGGTGATTGTCAAATTTGCTATGCATCTATCTACCATCTGTCTATTATTTGTCTAT